GTGTGCACGGGCACCGAACTCAATGCGCGTTCTGATCCTCGCCTGGTGTCAGTGTTCGTCGCGACGCCTTTCAGCGACCTGCCTCGCTGGGCACCTACAGCGCTGGCCGTCGCCCGCTCCATGAACTGCGACGACCTTCCGAGGATCGGTGGAAGCCGATGGCATCGCCCACGGGGAAATCAGCACATGATGGTCGACAGTTGGGGGGGGGGGGGGGGGCGAGGGCCGTCGGGGGCGTCGACGAAGCGGGCGGAGGAGAAGAAGTGGCGCGCGGGCTGGAGAACCTCAGCGAGTTGAACGGCTCAGTGGACGCCCTCGAAGGTTTCATCGATAATCCCCCGCCAATGGGCGGATTCGTCACCGAGGCCATGAAGGCTGTAGCGACTGCAGATCACTGCGCCGCTGCTCGTGGACTGGAAGGACCTCCAGCGGAGCAGGGTGAGGTACTTCTTGGACCTGAAGAAACGTACATCAATGCGCACTGGAGGAAGGCTCACAAGCTCACCAGGGAAAATGCAAGAGGCTCTTCCGCAACATGATGAGCGTACCCTGGAAGACGAGCCACAAGGTCGAAGCGACGGGAGACCGCAGTGTCGACGCCCTCCTTCGCGACGACTGTTGTGGCTGCGTTGTGTCTGGGAGCTCACTTTGGGGTCGAGATGCCAGTTGTGCCTTTGAACTATCTCGGGGCTTATCGACGGCCCTCTTGTCCACGGGCCAGAGGCGTATCCAACTGGGCAGTGGTGGATGACGGATTTGACGCTGGTATGAGCTCGGGAGACGCTGCGCGACGAGGAGCTTAAGAAGGAGGCCCAGCTGGAGACTGCCTACCACGGTGCCAGCTTGGCAGCATTCGACATCCATCTGGAGAAAGAAGAGGCTGTTTGAGCTAAAGCCAGGCCTTCGGGCTGTGAGAACGTCAGCGGCATTTTCTGTGAGAAGACGCCTTGCCGTACCCCGTGCGCTCACTGCCTGGTGCATGCGTCATTGGACGCCAGCCCAGAGATGAACCTGCACTCTTGCATCTTCGAGTTGCAGGTGGATTGCCACCGTCGCGCGCGCTATCCCATGCAGCGTGTCCGCGAGCAGTGGTGCCAGGCCGAAGGCATCGTCTACGTCGAGGCGCTTTGGATCCACGCTCCGACGACGAGGGGGATCATGGGCAATGTGCAGGCTAAGGGGCAATTCTTTGGATGGTTCAACGTCTGGATTCGCCCCGGCAGCGTTTCCGAGTGCGCGCGCGTGCTCAGATGAAGTGATCGAGGAATCCGACTTCCTGGTTTTCGAGGTCAGGCTGGTTCCCGAGGGCGAGAGGTGGGTTCCTCAGTGGACCAAGGAGGTCAGTGCGGCAGATCGGTTCCTGGACCGCACTGGCAAAGCACGACCGCCGTGGAACCGAGCCGCAGAGTTTCATGGGCCAGATGGGGCAGTCTACGGACGCAGCGTATTCGGATGAACTCGTGGTCATCGCGGACCTCGCGTCAGACAATCCGTTCAAGGATCTCTCTTAGAGGTGCTCTCGAGTCCTGCGTGTTTTTGACGCTGTGCCAGCTGCGCGTCGCTGAGGCTCTGGAAGTACCTGGAATGGCTACGGTATCGACTGAGAGAAAATCTCATCTTCTGAAGCGAGGCGGCGTCTCGGCTGCAAGAACGGTGGGCTGTGGTTGCAGATCCCCTGTCAGCCTCTCCTCCTCCTGCGCCTCTCTCTGTACTCCCTTCTGCGCCGCCATATCGGCTCACGAGTGCCCCTGAGCCATCGTGGCGCGCCAGTGACGGACGCGCGCACGCCTCTGTAAAACAGAAGGGAACGTGCTCTCTTCTAGCACGGGTTTCCCTATTTGTACCTCGTGTCTCTATGCATCTGTCAAACGCCCGAAGAATGATTATCGAATGACCTTCGGCACATCCCGCCACCGTGCCTGTGTTGCGGGTCTGAGGCCGCTCGGATGGCTGATGGGTTCTCGTGGTTCGCGTTTCGGGGGCGTCTTGGAGGCAGTTTTTGAACCTCTCGGGGGCCTGCTTTTTGCGGCCATATTGAGGTTCCCTGGGGGCCTGTTGGGGGCTTCTTGGGGCAGCCCGGAGGCGTCTTGGGGTGGGAGACTCGAAATGTCCGTTCGGATTCCTCCTCTGAGCTCCTTCTTGAGGCTGTCCTGGGGTTCTCCTGCGCTGTCTTGGGGGCTTTTTGGGCCGTTTTGGAGTCCTCTTGTGTCGTCTTGGAACCCTCTTGGGGGCCTCCTGGCCCGTCTTGGGGCGATCTTGAAGGCCCCTTGGGCCGTATGGGACGCTGTGAACGCCCAGGAGGCGAATGTGCTAAACAAATATTTGTTCCAGGAAGGGAATGGGGCGATTTTTGCTCCAGGAGGCTCTCCTGAGACGCCTTTTGGGGGCTTCTTGGGGCGTCTTGGGGGCTTCTGGGGCCATTTGGAGGCCAACGTGGGCGTTTTGGATCGATCTTTCAGCGACTCGTGGCCCTCCTGGGCCGCCCCAAGGGCCTTTTGGGGCCCTTTTGGCTTGTTTCGGGGCCCTCAGCCCCTCTGGATGCGTTCAGCCGGATCCCAGGGGACCCCCCCGCCCCCTTCCAAATCGACCGGGCCCGGCTCCCGAGGGACGGATTCTGGGAGGGGGAAACATTTCACACACCGATGTTGTATTATTGCAACCCTTGCGTCAACGTTTCAGAGACAGCATGATTGACCATGACTTTGATGGAACAGGTCTGTCATGGCAAATCAGATCATAAGACTACACCAGAGAAGGCCCAATCCGTGGATGACATGAGAAGTAATACCATGGATCTTGAGATCGATTGTGAGATCGATAGTGCGATCGAACGTGGAATCGATAGTGAGGACGATTTAGAGGTTGATCGTGAGACCGAGAGTAAGATCGATTTGATGAGATCGATCGTGAGATTGATCGCGAGATCGTTCATGCGATCTCTAGTGAGATCGTTTGTGAGATCGGTATTGAGATCGATTGTGAGATCGATGGTGAGATCCATAGAGAAGTGGGTAATGAGATCGATGGTGAAATCGATCGATAAGAAAATCAACCAGGAACCCGGGAACCCGGGAACTTCGCCGCCCTCCGACATCGGCCCGGAACCCGGAACCGGGAACCCGGGAACACAGAACCAGGAACCCGGGAACCCAGCCAACAACCCAAATCGGCGGGATTTTTCCGCCAAATCCGTCAACATCCGCGAGGACCCCTTCAGTGCAAGCACTGATTTTGGAACTGTAGCGAACTGCGCATACTGTAATTATCGTCACAGAGACTATTGTAACATCACCTAACCTGGCAGAACATACGTATAATGTCGTAACGTGGTGCCACAACTCAGAGCATGTCATATCACAACAAACCATGTTATGACCGATGTAAGCGTAACAAAACATATTTTGACAGAGCAGAGACACAAACTTGAAGAGGACCTTCATAACATCATAGGCCTACCATCGCAGAATCAAGCGCGACGTGCGCGCTGAGGTCAGCCCGTCCACAGGTACACATAGGCGCAGCAACGACCGATCGAACGACGTGTCTAACGTGACAGGCGTCACAGCGTCACGCCGTCCCGTCGACAACTTAACAAGTCATATTGTAGCATCGCATAATAGAAACGTACCGAGCATAACATGAGTGAACATGGTTAAATTCAGCGACGACAGATTAAGGGCACACTATCAATCGCAGCATCAGCCCCTGGCCACATGAAAAAACAGATGCGGCAACGACCGATTAGACATATCAAGCGCGATACGAGGCTTCTAGAAGAGTGCCGAGATGGGCCAGCGTCGGCCTTCCAGAGTGAGCTGAAGAATCCCAAGGAACTCCGGAGAGACTCTCTGGATACCTTACGTGGCGCTGGAGGTTTCGGTGGGGATCGATCGAAGCAGAATAATGTTGATGGAGGGCAGGTTATTTATTTTCAAAACGTGGCTCTCGCCTTACCGCTGCGATTTCTACAACGTGTAAGAGTTTCACGGATGGTGGGCGGGTCGTGTTCACAACACAGTTTTCGCTTTAGCGCCGCGCGCATTCGTCTCAGACAATTGCAAGCGTTTCGCGGATGGAGGGCAGGCCGTCTTCAAAAGATGGTTTTCGCTTTAGCGCCGCGCACAGTCGTCTTAAGCGACTGCAAATGTTTCGCGGATGGAGCGCTGTTCTTTTTGAAAATGTGGTTTTCGCCTTACGCCGCGCACATTCGTTTCAAGGGTTTACAGCACTATCAAAGGTTCTCATGGTTGACGTCCCAGCCCAGAAATGGGTTTTGGCACGATGTCGAACTGGCAGGGCGCAACAGTTCGGTTGATTCGTGGTGTAGAAGCTCCCAGACTGGAATTCTGGTTCGACTCGGGATTGTCAACACGCATTAGTTACAATGATTCGCGCCGTTAAAATCCTAGGAATGGTGTTCTGGCATAGTTGAGGATGTTCAAACGTTTGTCTTCCAACAGGGCATTCCCTTAAGTGGAAATGAATGTTTGCATGTGCTTATGAAGAGGGAACTCGGAGGGATTGGTTGTTGCAGTCTCGTTGATGAATCTTGGGTCTCCACTGATCCTCCTCCTCCTCCTCCTCCTCCTCCTCCTCCTCACTCCTCTTTCCTCCCTTCTCCCTCTTCCCGGTTTCCTCCTCGCCACAGGGTGGATATCTGCGAATTCCGGCGAATTCTCCGCTTCCCCGTTCCCTCCTCCTCTTCCTGATCCTCGTCCTAATCCTCCTCCTCCTCCTCCTCTTCCTCCTCCTCCTCCTCCTCCTCCTCCTCCTCCTCTTCCTCCTCCTCCTCCTCCTCCTCCTCCTCCTCCTCCTCCTCCTCCTCCTCCTCCTCCTCCTCCTCCTCCTCCTCCTCCTCCTCCTCCTCCCCCTTCTGCTGCTGCTGCTCCTCCTCCTCCTCCTCCTGTCTCCGTCCTTCTCCACACTCCTCCGTTCTCCCTCCTTCCTCCTTCCTCCTTCCCTGTCCGACGACGTGGGTGGCGAATCTCACCATCCCCGAGGCTGTGGCCGCCCTGGCCCATGATGCGCCCCGGGAGGTGACACGCTCCGAGAAAGCTCGACGCGCGCGCGCGCCCTGGGGATCTGATGCCCCTGTCCTGGCCGACGTGGGGGTCCAGGGGCAACTAGGGAATGGCAAAAGTGACAGTGACAATGGCAGTGACGACGACGACGACGACGACGGCGACGGCGACGGCGACAGCGACGACGACGACGTTTAGTTGTTTGCTGTGATGTAGTCGCTAGGGTTTGTCATCCCCCAGAGATGTGCGAGCTCCCTCTGTCCTGCCCTTGCTTCTTGCCTCTGCTTTCTTTCCCGCTGCCCCAGTGGGGGCTCAAGCCTTTCTGGGTCAAGGGTCGGCCTCAATTGGCTTGAGTCCGGGTGTCCTGGATGCCCACCTCGGTCGAGATTCCGGGAGCTCCTGGGAGCAGGCAGTTGTTGACCGCGCTATGTCGCGCTGCAGGGCGCTTGGCTGCTGGGCGGAGGGCACGCAGCTCCGTCCAGCTGCCACGGCTGCGCGGAGGGGATGTGCCAGCCGTTGCGCGGCATCGGCGGCCGCCCGCCGCGCAGCGATGCTTGCCATCCATCTCTTCGCCAGGCGGCGAGCGCGAGGGGGGCAGCTGGGCCCAGAAGATCGCCTGGCTGCTCGGCGGGCTCTCGTCGAGCTGTGCGTGGAGCCTTCCCCGCTCCGCCAACGCCTGGGCGCAGTTCGGGTACTGCCCATTCTCGCGCGGCGATTTCGAGGTCTCCACGGCCTTCGTGGACGAGGGGCCTGACGAGCCTGGGTCGCCGCTGGCGGGAACACCCTCGCTTGGCGAACCTTTCGAGCCCCTGGACCCCCGGGGGGGGGAATGGGAGCTAACCGGTTCCGCCCCCGCCCCGCGTCCCTGGACATCTCCAGGGTCGGGGTCTAAGCAACATGGATTTTGAGTTGGGAGTGCTTGTGGAACCAAGCCCGGTCCTGGAGAGCCGAGGGGCAGGGGCTGGGCTTTTGATTGAGTCCGTCGAGGATCTCAGAGGCGCCGTCTCCGCCTGGAAGGGAGCAGGAAGGGACAGCGGCAATGTCGGGGGAGGGGGGGAGGGCTGGCTGCTCTACCTCATGGACTGCGGGTGCGTCGGCTGCTTCGACGCGGCCTTTCCGTGCGTGGCGGTGCTTGGCCTCGCCCTGATCCTCGCCGGGATCCTGGCCATGGCCACGCATAGCTTGCAAATCATCTTCGCCTCGTGCAGTTGGTGCGCTTATACTGCCACAGTGCGCCCTGCCAGCGTTGGTTGGGGGCAGAGCGCGCTTCTCTCGGCAGAGACCGCAGTCCTGCGGGGCACCGCGAAGCCCCTCCGCGCGGCCCAGAGAGGGCGGCGCTGCTTGAGTGCGCAGTACTCCAAGAGCTACTCGGCGCTCGCCAGCGAGCTACGGGCGGGTGTCACCGTGGCAGTGCTGGGGCAGATGTGCCAGAAGCGCCCGTGCAGCCCGCGACTGGTGGGCGCCCCCGGCCTCCCCGCTGTCAGCGCGGCGGCGGCGCCTCAGCTATGCGCCACTTCGCTCGTGCGCGAAGTGCGGGCTTTCCCTCGGGGTTCCGTTCCAGGCCTTTCTGGCTCGCGACCGCGACGCCTCGGGGGCGCGGCGCAGACGGCGGCCCGTCGCGACGAGGTGCTGAAGCTGCTGCTCGGCAACCTCCTCGCGGGAGGCAAGCCCCCCGCGGCGTGGCAAACTTCTTGGCTGGCGCCTTTCTGGTGGCCTTGCCCAAGAAGGCGGCCGTCGACCGACGGCCGTGGGGGTGACTTTGTGGCGCCTGGTGGAGTAGCGCCTCTGCACCCAGGTCTCTGACTCATCCCGAGACCGCCTCGCCCCTTTGCAGGTGGGCGTCGCCCTCCGGGGCGGCTGCGAGGCCGCGGCTCACGTGTCCCAGCGGTGGTTCGCGCGCCCCATGCAGGCAGCAGGTAGGAGGTGTCCATGATGCTCGGCCAGATCAACGCCTTCAACGCCCTCCATTGCCGAGCCCTCCTGTAAGCGGCGCGCGAGGAGCTGCCCGCGCTGGCCCCTTGGGCTTCCTGGTGCTTTGGGCCCCCTTTCTGCTCTGGCTTGGCTGGTGCTCGATCCGCTCGGACTGCAGCGCGCAGGACGGGGGCCCCTGGGGCCGCTGCTCTTTTTCCTTCGCGCCGCAGCGCGCTGCCGCGAGGGCCCTCCGCCAGCTCGCCCCAGCGGTCGAAGGCGCCGTGGACATGGTCTTCCTCTTCCTCGACGACGGCGCCAAGGCAGCTTCGACCGCGCCTTCGGGCAGGGGAGCGGGCGGCTGTGGGGCCCCGCCTGAGCGCAGGGCCCAGTCAGAGCGAGGTGGTCGCCGCTGGCAGCGGCGACGGCGAGGTGGACCTGGAGGCCCCGCCCCGCGCTTCCGCATGGGCGCGGGCGGCTGCGTCGAACGCTGGGGCGCTCCGTTCAGCGGCGACGCCTGCTTTCTGCCGCGAGCGTGCTTGGCAGCGAGTCGACGGGGCTGCCGTGCTCCGCGAGGTGCTCGGTGAACTCGAGAAAGCCCGGATTGCGCGTTACTTGCTGCGACAGTGCGCCAAATTCTGCAGATTTTGTTTGCGGGCTCGGGTTGTCCAGCCCGCCGCGCAAACAGAACCGCTGGTTGCCCTCGACAACGTAGTGCGCGGTAGCCCAGGGCAACTGCGTGGCAGCTCCGTCGGGCGACTCCTGGGCGCAATCGCAGCTCGCCCCCGAGGCGGGCGGCCTGGGGCTCCGCTCAGCGGAGCTCCGCGCGCCCGCCGCCTACCTGGCCCCGCGCGCAGCGCGGGCTGCCCTGCGCTCTGCCAGCGGTTTTCGCGGGCGGGCAGGATTGAGTTCGACGCTGGCCAGCGCAGAGACGGGCGGGGCCCGTCTGACGAAGCCGCCGAGGCCGAACTCTGGGGGCGCGCCAGCCTGCCGCCAGGGCAGCAGGTCCCACCTGTCGCTAGTGATCGCGGAGGGCGCTTGCGGCTGGCTGCGGGCTCGGCCCCGCGCCGAAGTCGGCGCGGCCCCCCCGCGTGGCTCGATGCAGTTCGCTTTGCAGAGGCGCTTGCGCGCGCAGTTAGCGATTGAGGGGCTCTTTTGCCCGGCCTGCGACGACTTCCTGGATGTTTGCGGGGCGGCGTGTTGGCGTGCCCCCCCTTGCCGCGGGGGCCGCGCGAGGCGGCGCGGCGCCCTCGGCGCCGAGACCTTCCTTGCTGCGCGGGCAGCCTGCCGCCTGGGCGCCGAGCAGCCCCGCGGGCGAGGGGGCGGAGGCCAACGGCGGCGAGCTCGACGAGACGGCCGACGCCCAGCGGGCGCGCGCGCCCCCCGCAGGCGCAACGGCGCCCTGGCCAGCTGCCCTTGACTTGGCTGTCGCTTCTGGGCCGCGGGGAGACCTCGGCGGCCGCGCTGGTCGCAGCCGCCGAGCGCTGCGAGGGGCAGAAGCGCCGGTGCCTTGACGCAGCGCGCAGCCGCAGTGGGGCCGGCGTCGCCTGCGCCCCCGCGGCGATGGCGGCGCGCCGCGGCCCCTGGGCCAAGTGCGCGCGCCGCGCGTTAGCCGCTCTGGCGAAGCGCGCGGCGGTCGCCGCGGGGAGGCCCGGCCATCGAGCTGGCGGAGCACGCCCAGCGTCTCAAGCTACTCCGCCGGCACGAGACTGCGCGGGCCGTGCTCCGCAGGCTGCAGGCCATGGGCAGGGCGCCCGCAGCTTGGCTGGCGGCGGCCAAGTCGGCCAGCGCGGCCGACGCCGCCTGGGCCGCGAGCCTGGCGCCCGACGACCGCGACCCGCGAGCGTGACCGCCCTCGACCGCAACCGCGACCACCCCCGACGCCCTGCCCCGACCGCCCTCTCGCTTGATTGAGGCCGCGACCGTCGTTGCCCCCGACCGCGTCCGCGACCGCGACCGCTCCTGGCTCTCTGCCCCGACTGCCCCCCCCCTCTCCCAGACCGCGGCCGCGACCGCGACCGCCCTCGGCCGCGACCGCGGCTGCCCCCAATTGCTTGCCCCATAGACTTACCTTGGCCCGGGCCGCGACCGCGACCGCCCCCGACCGTGGCCCGACCCTGCCCGGGGGCCGCGACCGCGGCCACTCCCGCAACCGCCCTAACATTTGGATGCGGGGGGGCCCCTGCGCCTCCTTCTGCGACCGCAACATCATGGGGGGGTCTCGCGCCTGGGACAACCCAGAAGGAGACGGGCTGGACGACGAGGAGTGAGAAGGAAACGCCCGCGCCCAATTCACCTGCGAGTGTATAAAAGGACCCTGCAAGCATGGGAAGGCCTGGCTCTTTGAAAACCAAGCGCGCAGTGGAAGTTCTATAGGGGGGGCTACTGGCTGGTCGTGTCCGCCAACCTGGCCCCTTTCTTCGCGCCGCTGGCGCGGCCCTGTCCCGGGCGCTCTGCCCCCCGCCGGCGCGTGGAGCTCCGCGGCGACGTCCCTGGCACTGGGTGCAAGCGCGCCCGGGAGGCAGCGCAATGCCCGTGGCGCTTCGCCAGCGCAGTGGCCCTCGCACTGCGCGAAGCCGCGAACATCCCGCCAAAACCCACCCGGGAGGGCGTACCAGGGGCCCGTAGGAACAGGAAGCCGCGGGCTGGAGGCAGGAAGCGCGTGGGGTGGCCCGTGGGCACCGCCAGAAGGGGCAGGGGCCCTCTAGAGTGCTCAGAGAGGAAAGGCCGCAGGAAGGAAGGAGGACTGCGGCCGCGATGCGGACGAGGGGGGCGCCGGTGAGGGGGCGGGACTTGTGCCGAGGAGTAGGCCAGGGCGTTCTCTGACCACTGCCGCGAGAACCCGAAGCACGCCCCAGAAGCCATGAAGATGGGGGCCGCTTGGGGGGCGGGCTGGCCCCGGCAGTGGGCAGCTGGGAGCGCGCGGTGGTGTTCTGCCGCGGGGCATGGCAGGCTCGTTGGGTGAACGACCTGGATGGGGCGCTCGAGGGAGGGCTCTGCGAACTCGTAGACCTGAAGGACTATCTCCAGGAGATGGCGAGAGAAGGGGTGGCCGTCGGTCAAGGCGAGGGCCCTTTCCAAGCCGCGCGAAAGTGTGCGCGGGCATGTCGAGGAGGCCATGGAAAAGCTCTCAAACTGCGCCCGAAGGGGCAGGGTGCTGCTCTGCGGAGAGGGCTCGGAGCCATGCCGGGTTATTTTTCGTCTCCCTGGGGTAGGGTGCCCAAGATGAACCCCAAGGGGGGGCGGTTCATCCACGACCAGCGGGCCATGAACGAGACCGGGCGTAAGTACCTCCCCCCCTGGCCTTCCTTCCAGCCCAGGCACCGCGGCTTGGTCCCGGAGATCCTTTGGAAGAGCCGCCGCCGGGGGGCGGGGGGTAGTTATCGCCGCCGGGTCATCGCGGGCGAGTTCCGTTGGATTTGGCGTGAGACCCAGGACGCTGGGATGTTCGCCGCGGAGCTCCCCAGAAAGGTGGTTGGGGATGGAAGGTGACCTGGTGGCTTTCTACTTGGTCTTTACGTTCGGCTGGATAGGCAGCCCGGGGGACTGCGTGGCCTTTGGAACTGCTCTGAAGCAGTGCCGCGACCGGCATGGGCCCGTGGGCCCCGGATGGCATGGCGAGGTCCTGCACTGGTCGCGCTTCCTAATGGACGACGACGTCGCGATCGAGCCGGTGCTGGGCAGGCGCCCGTGGATGGCTGGAAGGCTGGCCGAGGAGGGGGCGCGGCGGGCGTTCGGACCACTCGCGATCAACGCGGAGACGAAGGCCGTGGAGGGATACTTCACCGTGGACCAGCGCTGGGAGACCCACGCCAACGCGGAGGAGGAGTCCCTGGGGCCACCAGAGGAGAAGGTGATCAAGCTCCGGGCATTGCGTTGGCAGTCGGCCTATGATGCGGGCAACGCGCAGGTCGCCCTGAAGGGCGTTCAGGTCCTACGGGGGGGCCTCAACCTCGCGGCGATAGCATGTCCCCCCTCCTACCAGAATTGGGGGCGGTGGATCCTCCTGCGCGCCTCGGACCCCGCCCGCACGATGGTGGAGATAGACGCCCGGGCCCCCGAGGAGTGGGAGGGGTGGTGGGGGGCCCTGGAGACGTTCCGCTTCTGCGCAGAGGGGCCCCAGGCTTGGGCGGCGAACTTCATGGCAGGTCTGGCATCCGCACTCCACCCCCGCGAATGGATGGCGCCCCCGAGGGGGGGTGGAGGTGCTGGCCTGGGCCGGGGGAGACGCCGCCGAAGAGCGGGTTGGGGCCGCCGACGTGACCGGCGGGGCCTGCGGGGCCATGGGGGCCCGTGAGAGGTCATGGAGCCCTTCAGGGAGAAATTCGGGGAGAGAGGCGACATCATCGCGATTTGCGATCTGTTCGCCTGCCTGGTCCTGGCAGTGGCTCGGGCCCAGCACTGGAAAGGGGAGCTGGTGCTCTGCGTGACGGACAGCTTCAATGCGGAGGCATGGCTGCTCAAGAGACCAGGAACCGCCTGGCGCCCCGCGGGCTCCGCCTCCTCCAACTCCTGGAAACAAGGCGCGGATTCTACGTCGCCGCGGCAGGAGTTTGGGCCGGGCACGACCAGGGCATGGATCTCCTCTCGAGGGGGGGCATGGCGGCGGTTCGGGGAAGATCGATGAACCGGCTCGGGCTAGAGGAGCTTGACCTCAATACTCCGTGGGGGGAGATCTTGAAAGGAGTCACCCTGGGGGGGTCGCTGGTCTTGCCGGGGGGCTCGGAGGTCCAGTGGAAATCAGCGCTCCAGCTGATGAACCGCAGGGGCGCCCTCAGCCGTGTATGCAGCTGCTGGATGGGATCCGGCTCGTGCAGTACCAGGCCGCGATGGCCCCCCACTTCCGCGCGGCAGGCGAATTGGGGGCGAGGTTCGGGGCCGCGCGCCCAGGTCCCAAGGCAGCGGCCTACCGCGCGGAGCGGGGGGCGCGCGCCCTCGCCCTCCAAGCGCGACGCGAGGATAGGGTCCGAGACGCGTCGGAGGAGGCTTGGGTAGCCGCGCCGCCGGGGTGGGGCCCGAAGGGGATGGGGGAAGCCCACCTGCCAAGTTTGCCCGGCCCCACGGCGCTACTCTCGTCGTGGCTGACGGGCCACCAGAGGGAGGAGGCTGGAGCGCGCGCGCTGGTCTCGCCCGATCGCCTTGGAGGGGGCACTCCTACCGCCGGAGGCTCCGTCGGAGGACCTGTGCTTCTCGGAGGGAGTGGGGCGCGCCCGTGGGGGGGGTTCCAGGTCTATGCGCGGAGCTTCGGGGCGCGCGAGCCTCGGCCGCTGGAACCCTCAGGGCCGCAAGCGAGGACCCCCCAGAGGGCCGAGATGCTGCGGGCCAAAGGCATAGGCATGTCCCGATCCAGAACAGCCTGGGGCCGGACTGGCCGCTCCTCCACCCGGACCGACTGATTGGGCGCGGGTGCATGCTGGTCGAGAAAGCCTTGGGGGGGAGGGGTTCGCGCGCGCAGACGCGACCCAGCCGAGGCGTGGCATATCGCCGGAGGGGCCCTGAGGGAATGGAGAGAGGTCAGGAAGCAGGGGGTGCCACCGGGGCGGCTCGCCAGATCCGATGGGCCGCCTCCACCTCTCGGGTCGAAGAATGAGGAAAACGAGCGGGGGTCTGCCAGGATAATTAAGGATGGGGGGTTTCGGCCGACGCGAATGCGGTCTGGTTCGAGGCCTGGAAGGAGAACCCCGCCGACCCAGGCGCCGCTTATGAGCGATGGCTGCGGGATGCCCGAGGAGCGCGGGCGGGGGGGCAAGAGCCGTGACCGCCCGCCCCCCGGGCCATCCAAGAGGACGGGCAGGGGCATGCCCCTCCAGCTGGGCGTCGAAAGGGGCCCCGGCATGGCGCGGACTGGTCGGGGGGGCGGGCCCCGAGCCCCGGGGGTGCCCAGCGGCGCCGGCGCAGAGCCCCGAGACGAGGGGGGGGGGCTCCAGACCGCGGGCCCCGCCGACCTGAAAGAAGCGGAGCTTGGGCCGCCCAGGCCTGACCATTCGGGCGGCGGGGGGGCGCAGCCGCAGATCGGAGGGGGGCGCCTCGCCGCAGAGGAGAGAAAGAGAGAGGGAGAGAGAGAAAGAGGGAGAAAGAGAGAGAGAGAGAGAGAGAGGGAGGGAGGGAGGGAGGGAGGGAGAGAGAGAGAGAGAGAGAGGTGGGCGGCGCGGGGGGGCTACATCTTCGGCGACCTAGCGAACTGACGAGCAGGTGCATGGGCCTCCTCGTGGCCGCTTGTCGGAAACGCGTCCTCCTCATCCCCGGCTTAGTGCCGCCCCTGAGTGTGTGGGGGTAGGCTGTGACTTTCCCTTCTTCCCTTCTCCCTCGCTCGCTTTCCTTTCCCTTCTCCGCTCCTTCCCTTCTCCGCTCCTTTCTCTTTGCGGTCGCAGGTTTTGCCGCAGCCCATTCCCCCGCCGGGGTTTTGGGTTTCCTGGTGGTGTGCTGCTTCAGGGGGAGGGCATGGGGGCAATGGGCGCGGCTAACCCCAACCCCATTCCAGGTGCCCCCGTGTGTTCCAAATGTTAGAGGTCAGGTCGTTGCTGCTGTGGCAGGGCCCTCTTGATTTGTGCTCGGGTCGGCCGTCCTCTAAGCAGTCGGGATTGTGGCGGGGGCGGGATTGCGAAACCTCCCCGGGATCATCGCGCCGCGGAGGCGGTTGGGGCTTCGGCTCTTTCCTCCGTGGGGGCTTCGGCTCCGGCTGGGGCCGCGGCTGGGTCTGCGGTGTCAGTCGCAGTGTCAGTCGCGGCTCCCCGGGGGCAGACCGGCGACTCGTCTGGCCAGCGCGCGTCGGTATCCGTGCCGTTTGTGGCGTGTGCTTCGGCGAGTGTGTTGGTAGAAGGCCCTGCGGTTCCCTCAGGTATAAGTCGATGTCCGTGTTGTGTGTCGCTGATTTGTGCTTTGTAAAGGGATCTGGCAAAAGTCGGCGTCTGAATATTTTCGTTCTCCGCCCTGCGACGCCAGAGTTTGGTTCTGGGCCTGTTGTCGTGTGCTTGCCGCCGCTGCTGCGGCCACCTCCTCGGTGCCATTATATCTTGGTTTCGTGGTGCAATGGTGATCTTGCAGAGTGATACCGCGCGTAATGTGAGTGTATGATGAGGGAGGTAGGAATTGACACTTTGACTGTCTCCACTTTTTCTGGGGTCTTCGGGGGGCTGCGCCCGAACCTGGCGGCGATCCTACGCTGGCGGCGCGGGGGCGGCTGAGGATTCTGTAGCTGCGCCTTGTGCCCGGCCCGTCGCCTACTGACGCAGGTCTTTTTTTTCCCCTTCCTCATTCTCCCGTGCAGCCAGACGGGTTTCTTGTGTGGTGCCCGCGTGCCGGATCAGATTAGATTGTGGCCCCTGCGCACATTTGACGCGCAATCATTGTGGAGTGTGATGTTCGGAAGTTGTGTTTTTTTTTTTTTTTTTTGTGTTTCGTGGTCGGGGTGGTTGTGGCTGTGTCGTGTGTGTGTGTGTGTGCCGAGATGATATTCGCCCCCGGTCAGATCCCAGGTCAGGCCCGGTTTCTCCCCGAGGGCCCGGGCGTCGTTCGCGGCGCGATGCCCGGGGGCGGGGGCGGAGGAGGGAGCGGGCGCCGCCTATGAAACGGGCTTGAAGCAGTGGCTCCTCTTCAACAAGGTGCGCAAGCAACGCCCTTGTCTGGTGGGGCTCGGGAGGGAGGGCCCCTGGGAGGATGGGGGCCTAATTTCTGCTCGACCGTGTCGTTCACCTCGCCCGCGCCCAGAAGCGGTCGGAGGGGGCGATCGGGGGAAAGCTGATGGCGGTGCGGCGCGACCGCGTGGCTGCTGGTTACCCCGATCCATTGGAGCTGGCCCCGCGCCTCGGGGTAGCCTTGGGCGGTCTCGAGCGGAAGGGGGCCAAGCAGAACCGAAAGTTTCCAGTGGCCATGGAGATGCTACAGTGGCTCCGGGGGAGGCTAGCCACTGGCAGGGTGGGAGAAGCCGCGCGCTGGGCGGCCATCTCGGTAGCCGTCTCTTCCTCGTGCTCCGTGCCTCGGCGTATCTTGCAGACCCGACCGAGCCGTGGGCGGGGGCGCGGGCCCTGTTTTGGGAGGGGGTGTCACCCCGCGTTGGGGGGGGTCCTTCGCGGCGCGTTCGCGGAGGCGGGCGAGGTCGTCATCTAGGTCGAGGGGGGCGTGGCGGACCAGTGCAACTTTGGGTGCCGCAGGAACCGCTACGCCACGGGCAGCGAGCAATGCCGCGCTTGCGGAACTGGGGCGCCTAGCCCCGCAGAGGTGGACCTCGGAGGGGGGCCCGCCCTTGTTCTGGGGCGAAGAGGGGGGCCCGATCTGGAGGCAAGGCGTGGGCGCGCTGCTCGACCAAGCAGCGTCCTTCTCGCGTCGGAAGCCACTGCCTTCGGGTCGGGGGGGCCGCTGCAATGTGTCGTGCAGTGCCAGATCTGGAGCGGCTCAGGATGCTCGGGAGGT